GCATGGAGGTGTGTCAGCACATGAACTGATACATGCTGCAGGAGATCGCAGATTGTGGAGAGGCATGATCGCCCATGCCAGTCGGCAAGGCACCTGATGATGATGATGCAGAAAGCAAAATGAGAAATGTAAAAAATATCCAGACTTGTGACACTAATGATCTGCTCATAATTACAGGCAGCCCTGTCCTGGACTTCACTATGCAGACAACACAGTCCTCCTTTCAAACAGTATAAAAGGAACAGTTAATTCATTCATGTAGTCAAAACAAACACTGTAAAGATCAAAACCTCTTCCTGAATTTAAATGAAAGACACACAAAAATGTCCACAGAAAAATCTGCCTGTCACCCCAAAAAATAATTAATGATGAAGAAACTGAAAAATGTTGCAAACTTTGAATATCTGCCCTCCATAATGAACAGCAATGGAGTCTATTCAACAAAAGGAGAATGGCCGTAGCAATGCAAAGATTAAATCACATTGAAAATCTATGGTTAAGCACCAGCAAGGAAATCAATTTTGAAGGCATGCATATTTCCAGTAGCAACATACAGAAGTGAGCCTTGGACTATCTTGCAGTTATTAAAGAAAATTATGGGGGCTTTTGAACTGAAATACTATAAAAAGATTCACAGAATACCCTGGATCATAGAAAAAAGAAAAAGAAATAATGGCATCCTAAAAGATCTGAATCTCAAGGAAGACTGCTAGTAAACAGCATCTTGTCTCAAAAACTGAAACATTTGGGCCAGATCAAGCTCCAGAGTGGACTGGAAATAATAATAGTAGAAGGTGTGGTGCCAGGAAAGAGGGACGTGGGCTAGAATGCATGAAGATGGGTGACGGATATAAGCAATTTTGGGTAGGAAAGTGCATGAGGTGGTAGATCTGGCAAGAGAGCGAGTGTCTTTTAAACAAGCTCTGAGAGTGACGTTCTGCAAAGCACTTACAGTGATGCTGATTCACTAGTATTCTATGAAAAAGCTCATACACTTTTCATATTCAAATCAAAACTTACCACGACAAGAAGAAAATCATGCTATTCGTTGTGTAAAACAGGTACAGTAAAGCACTCAGCTACTTTGGCTGCACAAGAATAATAAGCCAAGCAACACTAAATATGAACAACAACAGCAGTAAAAACAACAGCATACTTAGCAGTTTGAAAACATCATAGGCAACTTGATGTTCCGTCACTGTGTAACTAATGTCTGTGAAGAACACATCCAGGAAAATGAAGTTTTTACTGAAATCAAGAAATTTCACATAATTCAACAGACACAAATGTAAACAGCCAGGGCGTTTTTTGAGTGGTTTTTCTAAATGTAGTTGCTTGTTTCTGTGCATTCATCAGCGGTTACCTCCGGGGTAAGATTACTCACTGGTCAGTTTCTAGACTTGTGACAGCATTCTATGTTACCTTACAGTTTGTGCATTTGCTTAAGTGAATATAATTAGCCCAGAGAAATGTAAACAGTTTGCATACACACAGTTGTTCTAGAACAGACCTAAGGCTAACAATTTCCATAGACTGTGTTTTAATTCTTTGTGTAGGAAGGAGTCTGTTCATTGCAGGAGCAATTGAATCTTATCAGCTGAGCAAATCAGCTTTCAGTTCAGCTTTGTTTGTGTAAGATAACAATTTGCTTTACCGACTGACACATCTGTAAGTTTGTGCTGTCATTCCATGCAGTTTTGAGAAGTAGCATTTCTGGCCAACTAAGCGTGTATAAAAAATATTTTGAAATTTGAGGAGTACACAACATCTGACTGTTAATTTTGTTCAGTGATATTCCCTTGACCTTTTCACTTTTAAAAGAAATATATTTATGTTTCTTTCTTCTTCAGAGATCAACTTCATTTGTCTTTCTACCATAGCATGGGACCTAAACTGAAGGGTGCTGTTGAGTTTTCACAAGTCTGTAACATTTTGTTTCCAGCCAACAATTTGTCTTCTGTGGTACATCATGCTGCCATAATTTTCATTCTGTTTGGTTAATTCCAGACAATCTTGGATGGTCTGCTTGGATTCTCCAGGGCTGCAAGCGACTATCCTTGAAGACATTCTATCTCTGAAGGTGTGCTCTGATCTTTATCCACCCATTTACATCTTTGAGTCCCAGGGGGTTTAGCATCAGAGGCTCAAGGGGTCGCCAAGAGAGATGTAAAATCAACTCATCATGTGTTCACTGGGCCTCTAGGTAGGAACCAATGAAGGCATGATGCGTTCTTGGGCCTGAAAGAGTTAAGAAGCTGAATAAGTTGCACACTAGTTTTTTTTTAAAAAGAAAAAAAAAATAACTGATCATGCATCTTAGAATTAGATCCTTTTAGATTGCACTCTAAGAATAAGATCCTTTCAGATTGCACTCTAAGAATGAGATCCTTTCAGATTGCACTCTAAGAATGAGGTCCTTTCAGACTGCACTCTAAGAATGAGATCCTTTCAGATTGCACTCTAAGAATGAGATCCTTTCAGATTGCACTCTAAGAATGAGGTCCTTTCAGATTGCACTCTAAGAATGAGATCCTTTCAGATTACACTCTAAAAATTTACAATGATAATGTAAAAAAAATACTTTACCTGTAGAAATATGAATCAATAACAGCCAGATTATTGAATTTTTTCAAATCTCCCGTAATTCGGCCAGTAATCTCTTGAAACTTATAATGTGATGAAAGCAGGACCCATATACTACTAAATTTTACACGAACGTTGTCAGTAACATTCTTGATCAAACCAAGAGTCTCAAAATCTCCAAGGAACATAAATTCTTCTCTAGTTTCACAAATCTGTTTCAAAGAGCTGTCTGCAAGAATCTCCTGAACCATTGCAATCATGCAAGTGTCAATAGCAGACCACAAACTGTCAAGGCTTTCAGTATTCATCTTGATAGCAATGCCAGAAGTGGCCAGATTTATTATAGCTGAGTGGCTAACATTGTCCAAAAATTGTTCTGCAACTTCAAATTTGGTTACATTCCAAGGGTTTAAATAAGCACGAATTAATGTGTCTAGGTAAATAAATGTTGACAGTGATAAATTTGCAGTGTTTGAGATTTCAATTAATTTGTCAATTTTGTTCAGAACATCACTGAACCGATGGCTGCATTTGTCTTTTGCTAGATTGGCAGCAACTGCTGCCTTGTTTAGTTCAGATAATGGCCATTCTATTACTTCACCATACAAGGTTTCTCTGTCTAGTAGATACAACATGCAGGCTTTGTTGAATTCCTCAAGGGTTTCCTGTACAAATGTAGTAAAATAAATCTTAACTTTGAAATATGACAATAAATCAGCAGTTAAAAACAGAAAACAACAGCAAATAATTGAAACCTGCAGACTTCTCTTATTTATTAGTCTTTCACAAGCTGCATTTATATGGATGTGGGTGGGGGGGGGGGGGGGGGGGGGGGTACTTTAAACGAAGATATTAAAAGTGTGAGAAATGACAGTAACCATGCCATCGTTTTGAAGCCAGGCAGTATTGTTGTTCAGAACATCATGATCACATGACATCATGGGGCAGACGAACAGGATGACACCACAATGACAGTTAAAGATTGCCACCCCACTTCTGACATGCACTAAACAGGAGCATCATTCTTATATATCTATATATATATACTGCAATCAGCTCTGGGGTCACTACTTGGGTGTGCCTGTCCTGGTTATGAACAGTCTGTCATAGAGGTCACACTATTTTGAAACTTCCTGCTCCATTCATACACTTGCTGAACACAGTCGAATAGAGACACTATGGGACAGAAATGGTTTAACTTACAATTCAGATACAGAAGGGTTAATTTAACACCTGTCTGAGGTAGGATAATTAAAAGTAAAGGACCCTTTTTCACACCTTCAAATGTATTGAGCATATAGGTCTAGATATGCTGGTACCCATTTAAGGCTGGTTCGACCTGGGAGCCAACGTCACTTTTTAAAAAAAGTATGGCTTTGTCTAGGCTGCAAACCCACAATCTTCCGATCTGCAGGTAAGCATCTTGCTGTTACACCACAGTGGCTACTGATAGGATAATTATAATGTCTTATATTTAGAATGGCCAAAAAATGTTTTGTGAGCTGGTTAGTACAAAAAGATTCAAGGAATTTTAACTAACTGATGTTCACATTTTGTAAAATGTCAATATTTTTCTTGTTTTTGATGAACCCTTGAGGAGTCTGTCTATGAGATTTAAATTTAAAAAAATGATGTTCTCCTTCTAAGCTATATTTTAAAAGTCTATGAAATTGTTTTTGTTAGCTTAAGGCATCAGTATGTGCCAGAAGAGTTTTTTCTTCAAAGCAGTTGTCACTTTGCACTGTCTTTACTGCCTGTATGTTTGACTTTAGGGAAGGTTGTGGGGGTGGGGGTGGGTGTAGGACAGGGCGTCTTGAGCCTAAGGATTTAAGGCTGCATGGCCAGTTCAGTTGCCACGAACTATGCTGGTTAAGATTATATTTTTGCCCCCTACAGACAAAAACTCCACCCCTTACAGAGGACTGAACTTGGGTGTTCCATAGAGGAGCCCATGCCATTTAGCATACACTTTCAAAACCCCAAGCTATATTAATGTTTGAACACATCTCCCAGTGTGCAAGACTGACATTCTGATCTCTCAACCATCTGGTCCTTTTCTTCTTCTTCTTCTTCTTCTTCTTCTTAACATTGACCAGCTGTAAACACCAGCAGAAAGTTTTGCTTTTTTGTGTGTGTGTTTTGTGTGTGTCCACCTCTTGTTCCAGAACCTGAGTGTTGCATGCACATCTATTTTACAGATCTAGTTTATTTGTAAACAAACTGTTGGTTTCCTGCCTCTCAGGCAAATGCAACCTGTCTTGGAAGGAACCTCCCAGTTAGTCGACTCTTATGTCATGTTTGTTGGGAAGGCAGGGGGTTGATTCTTGTTTTCCTCACAACAGAGTCACGGAACCCACACGAGGACTGTTACTTTAAACTAAGAAAATTAGTCAGATAAAGTACAGACTTACATGAACACTGTTTGTTTGCTCCTGCGTGATGATCTCTGTTTCATATACAGCATGTGAAATATTCATCAGTTTCCGTAAAATAACAGCAATCTGGGTGATGTGTTTATGTGCAGACAGCACAATTTTAGAGCCATTTTCAGATTTGTTGATAGCTTTCTTTAACAATTCTCTTGGAATGAGCATCTATAGATGTGAGTTAAAGGTACAAGTAAATTAATCATGACTAAAAAATAAGCATGTGCAATAATAGTAGTAATTTAATCACTACTAAAATAAGTATGTACAATAACAGTAGTAGTACATTAATAAAATAAACATGTGCAATAACAGTAGTAAATTAATCACTACTAAAACTAAGCATGGTCAATAACATTGTTAGTAAATTATTCATTACTAAAAATAAACATTCGCATTAATATATAGTAAATTAGTCATTACTAAAAAATGAGCAGGTGCAATCAAAGTAGTGCTTTAATCATTACTAAACATAACGAGAAGTATCCCAACACCACTTAGACTCAGGTTTTCACCGACGGCTCTGCTACAGATGCAGTCAGAAAGGGGTGCTTTGGAATATACATTAAACACCCTAGCAGTAGAGCAGAAACTCTCTCTCTACCAGCAGGTGACATCTGCACTAACTTCAGAGCTGAGGCAACTGCCCTCCTTTCTGCAGTCCAACATCTCATCACTCAAGAACACAGAGGGCACAAAATTGTTATACTTAGTGACTCATTGTCTGTTTTCCAAGCACTATCAAGCAAAAAAACAAGAAAAACTAATTGCAGATCTAAGGTCCAACAGACGGGACTCAATGTTTAGCATGACTGATGTTGAACGAAGAAAAAGAAAAATTACTAAACATAATCGTTTGCAATAATAGTAGTAGTAAATTAATCATAACTTTAAAATAAGCATGTGTATTAACACTAGTAAATTAATCGTTATTTAAAAAAAAAATCTACAATAAAAGTAATAGCAAAGGCATACAATAGAGAGAATACCTTGTGATTCAATACCACACAAGGGATGAATTAAAAGAGGACATGGAAAGATAATACCAGAGACGGTGTATCAAGTGTAAATGACTGAAAAGGCTAGGTCCAGAATCCTGTACATTTGAATCAGTAAAGAAAAAGAATAAGACTTAGAGATAGAATGGCTAAAATGACAAGTGTATGGGTCAGATTTGTTTTGTCTGATAAATGCGTTGGTCAGAAGGGTTTTATGTGGTTAGCGTGTGTGTTGTCAGAAAATCCTTAGTTTGGGTTAGAAAAAGCTTTGTTTGGGTCAGTAGGACTTATATCATTAGTTTGTGGATCAGAAGGGCTTTGTGTGGTTAGTATGTGGGTCAAAAGGACTTTAAGTCATTAGTGTGTTGGTCAGAATGGCTTTGAGTGGTTAGTGTGTGTCAGATTTCGGGTGGAGAAGGAAAAAATGATGAGAAAGATGATGATTGTCACTTTAGCAACGAATAAAATCTACCGAATAAATGTTTGCATCTATGACTTAGGGGTTGTGAACACAGTTTGTAACTCCAGGCTGCGGCAGAAAACTACTTTGTGTTGATGTCAGCAATAATATGGCGAGCTGAATGTTTAGAAAGAAGTGGCAAACTACTGGACAGGAAATTAACTTTTAAATCTACAAATGACAAACACATGTTGGGGCTGATTTGCACCATTAAGTAAGCAGAGCTATTCATTCAACAAAGGTTACTTAGGGACCAAAATATTGGAAATAGGGATCATCACGGACCAGAAGCTCAAGCCCCAGCATAGAAACAGCATTAAACCAACACAAGTGGCAATGATCTGCGGGCCACTTGCTAGACCTGAGGGCCAGATTTGGTCCCTGGGGTGCCAGTTGAATATCCCTGCTGTAAAGGCTACTCCAGCTGTAGGTTACGGGGCCCCACTTTGAAGAACACAGTAGTAGACGCTCTGCGCTCCCCCCCCCCCCCCCCCGCTCCCCACGCCCCAACAAGCATGTTGCAGGAGGCATCTAATTAGGGATGTCTGCTTTAAAGTCAGAATACATCTGCCTGAGAGATAAGAAACCAACAGTCTGCATACAATAAGCTAGGTCTGTAAAATGGATGTGTATGCAAAACTCAAGTTCTGGATCAAGACTAACGTCAAGGAGTGGGCAAACAACCAGAACTTTCCGCCAGAGTTTACAGCCGGTGAACGACAAGAAAAATAAGGAAAAGATACACAGCTAACTTACATCAAGACTGAACACAACTGTAAAATTTGTATCTTCAGGTAGACTGTTGTTGAATATGGGGTCGCCGGTTGTGTAAGCAGAAACCAGTTGGGTCAAGTTCTTCAAGGACAGCTCAGCAAGCCAGATTCTGAAAGTTGCAATATAAGGAAGCTGATGATAAATGACGGAGCATACACACTCAAAGCAAAACAATTCTGGTAAAGGAAATACACACAACAGATTATGAACATTTCAACCTGTCGTGTTTTTGTTTTTTTTAAACTGTGTTGTCTCCACAATGGAAGTTTGTTGCAGTTGAATTGTACATCTACTGCTCTCAATGAGAATGTTACATTGTAAGGCCCTAATCTCTTCCACAGTGTGACTCTTATACCACCATTTCCTGTATGTTATCTTTTTACTAACTTCTTAGTCTGCCCCAAAGTCTACTCCCATTCAACAACTCTTTTATATAAGACATTTCTGTCTCTGCTCTCTATATGCTCCAACTACGGCAATTCTGTTAGCCCTAATGATTCTAGTAATTGGTGGTGATTTAAACATATGATAACATAGCTTATCATAATACACCTTATGGCACGACAAAGGGTCATTTATTGTAATTTTGTTTTACAATGGACAATCTAAGCACCAAAACTAACCAAAGAAAAACGGGTACCTTGCCATCAATTGCTCTGTCAATAATTTGTATTGAACTTCTTTGACGCTCTTGTCTGTTGCTGCAGCAAGTTCCATAATCTTTCTTTCAGTTATGTAACGAAACACGTACAGGTCATCTGCTAGCTCCCCTGAATAAATTAGCAACAACATATATTATTAACTCTTGGTGTCCAAGACAGCTTTTGTAGTAACAAAAAGACAGGAAAGAGAAGTGGTAGAAGAAGGTAAGGAAAACATAAAGTGAAGGTAAGGAAAACATAAAGTATATTTTAGCTGTACAAAACTAATTACAATAAACAAATAAAGGACATTGCAGCAATTAGCCTTTATCAGCAAAACAATGACAAGAAACAAAACAGAACACACACAAGAATGAACTGACTGAAATGACTACATAATGGGATTTAAATATATAAACAAATGCAGCCAAGTAATATTAAACAACAGAATGACAAAAACTAGGTGATACTTACCAGGGCCACTGTGAATTGTAAAGTTATGATTTATCAAAGCAGAAAGTGGTGTAGTGTGTTACACTGAGTAAAATGACAAGTGTGTGGGTCAGACGTGTATTGTATGATAAATGTATTGGTCAGAAGACGTTTATTTGGCTAATGTGTGGGTCAGAAAAGTTTGGTTTAAGTTAGAAAAACTTTATGTGGTTCATATGTGGTTCAAAAGGGCTTTTAGTGGTTACAGTGTGGGTCAAAAGAACTTTGTGTGGTTCATATATGGATCAAAAGGGCTTTCAGTGGTTACAGTGTGGGTCAGAAGGACTTTGTGTGGTTTATATGTGAATCAAAAGGGCTTTCAGGGGTTACAGTGTGGGTCAAACGGACTTTGTGTGGTTAGTGTGGGTGGCTTTATGTGAAACCATGATATGTTCCCATTGTAAGCATCTGTTAATACATTTGATATTATTTTAACTATATTTTAATTTTTTTTTTGCCATTCACCACATTATTATTTTAATTTTATAATTCAATTAAACAAGACTTAGTCCCTTTAAGCACTCCCAATGTTTTTATTGTTGCCGGGGTCTCAGTTTAAAGTCAAGATTAAAGGTAACTTATGGGGAAATAGCATGAGCCAGCAAAAGAACCATGTGAGACAGAATAGACAGGGGGGGGGGGGTGGATGATACATTGGATGCATGAATGGACTGACCAGTTATAAAATAGTACTGAATCTCTGAAGATGTGATTTTACAGAAGAATAGGTAGTATTTCATGGAAGAAAAAAAGAGAAAAACAAACTATCAAATATAGAGGTTCTGGAAAGACTGGAAATGAAAAAGAGTTGAAGAAATAAATAAAAAAAAAAGAGAAGTGACATATTTGAAAAAAATAACTCTCTTATAAAAAAGCCCACTGGAGGGAAAAGTTGTGAGCAAGAGGCAAACAGCAATACAAGTGGGGTCACATTATCAAGACATAGACTAAAAGCAGTTGGGAGAGTGTACGTTCAGGGCGAAGGACATCATGTTGGAGATTAACTGCAGCCACCCATCACTGTGAAGACGGTGCCTGACTGAATGATTGAAATGGGTGATCATCTGCCTGGATGAATCAGTTAATGGATGGAAGAAAACATAGATAAATGTGAAAGCAATTTCATTACCCAGTGTCGTCTCATCCATTTCATTCTTTGCCTCCACAAAGTTTTTCTTTACAATATATGACTGAGCCCAGAGGTAGTCAGTCTTGATTTGGTAAACATCTAGCATGAATTTCTGCAACTTTTCAATGTTCTGAAATGATAAATATTTTCAGTATCTGACATGACATGACCCATAATTGTGTGGAAACAGAGAATAAAGGACCCGTTTACACGCCTTCAGATGTAGGCCTATTGGGCATATAGTAAAAGTAAAGGACTCTTTTCCATGCCATCAGATTTAGGCCTATTGGGCATATAGTAAAAGTAAAGGACCCTTTTACACGCCTTCAGATGTAGGCCTATTGGGCATATAGTAAAAGTAAAGGACCCTTTTACACGCCTTCAGATGTAGGCCTATTGGGCATATAGTAAAAATAAAGGACCCTTTTACACGCCTTCAGATGTAGGCCTATTGGGCATATAGTAAAAGTAAAGGACCCTTTTACACGCCTTCAGATGTAGGCCTATTGGGCATATAGTAAAAATAAAGGACCCTTTTACACGCCTTCAGATGTAGGCCTATTGGGCATATAGTAAAAGTAAATGACCCTTTTACACGCCTTCAGATGTAGGCCTATGGGGCATATAGTAAAAGTAAATGATCCTTTTACACGCCTTCAGGTGTAGGCCTATTGGGCATATAGTAAAAGTAAATGATCCTTTTATACGCCTTCAGATGTAGGCCTATTGGGCATATAGTAAAAGTAAATGACCCTTTTACACGCCTTCAGGTATATTGGGTATTTAGGGCTAGACCTATATTTTATAGACTTGGTGGGTGATTTGGTCAGCATTACACTGGCCACCTTTACTTCCCAGAACTGTACCTGGTACCCATTTAAGGCTGGGTCGACCTGGGGGCAAAAGTAATTTTCGAAAGTCTGGCCCCTGTCAGAACCTGAACCCAGGACCTTCCGATCCATAGGCAAGTGTCTAGCCGCTAGACCATGGCGGCATATGGTGCTAGAAGGATATTTTGTGGACCAATCGGCACTCGGTGGATGATGTAGTTAACCGACTTTATTTCCCTGCACTTTACCTGGTACCCATTTAAGACTGGGTTGACCTGAGAACCAAGATCATTTTGGGAAAAAAGAAAGTTCGGCTCCGTTGGGGTTTGAACCCATGAATATTATTGAATAGTTATAGTTTTCGAGCGGCTGTCAAATGGTTAAGATGGCTAAGCTTTCATACGGGAGAGCTAGGTTCGAATCCTCAATATGGTCATGGATTTTTTTTTTCTGTCAGGGGCAAAAATAAAATCCTTACCTACACAGTCCGTGGCGACAGCAGCAGATATGCGGCTTGAAATCCTCAGGCTCATAGATTCCACTGCCTTCACCTCAAAAAATGGTAAATACAGGCGGTAACTGGCAGGTATAGTCTATTTCTCCTAAGGGGAGCTGCAAGGTCTCGAGGCATGGTGTCCGCCTCGAGTGCTAAAGATTCCGGGTTCAATCCCTGGTAAGGGCTGGAATTTTTTCACGTGGCACTTGGCACTTCTAGTAATTCCCCCTGGTCTCTGGGTAGTAAGATCAGACGCCCGTGTGCATTGTTGCTCACGTAAGAAACTCCCTTGGCAGTTGGAAATTAAAAAGAGTAGCCTAACGGCGCTGCCCAGGCAAAATTTGGAGTTAATAATCTACCCAAAGTATTTCAGGATCCCCACGGGTGCTACAGAGCGTGTGCACTGTGCTGAGCTTCCTCGGACTCAGACATGTTAGAAGAAGAACGGAGCACTTATGGGTTACTATCCATGTCCTATGATGTCGATTCGTTGTTTAAAACCTCAAACCTCATACTTCAACTGAAAGTGTTTGATTTAGCTGCCAAGCCAAAAAAGGTTAAAGACTGGGGTGACCGAATGAGGAATGTGGTGAAAAGTATTCAGTAGACATTTTACAATGTTCATCAAATATAATGTATGGAAGGATTCTTCTTCTTCACTTCCTCTTTTGTCACTTTAGGTGTCGAGGGAAATATAAGGTTCTGGTTCTTGTTCTTCCAGCCATCTTGACCACAGACTCATTGCACTGTTCTAAAATTTCTCTAATGGTATCTTTCTGTATTGCTCTTTACTTCATGCTGTATATCCCTCTCCTCTTTTGGTAAATGCTTTGTTTAGTATGGTGCTGCAAGGTATGCCCTCTTAGTGGGCCAACCATTTTATCTGCTGTCTTTTATGACATCATTCTTGATTTTTGTCTCATCTAGTGCTTCCAGCACGTCTCTCAGTCATCTTATTTCTGTGGTTCCTAATGTTCTTTTCTGGTTTATTGTGAGTGACCATGTCTGACACTGGTAGCATAGGATGGAAATGAATATTCTATGTGTGAGATGTTTTATTCTTTCTTGGTGCTGATTGTGATTGACTTAGGCCTATGTATCAAATCGGAGACTAGCTGTCCCAAATACTTGGTTTGCTTCACCGCACCATGTAACAATTACTTCATACAATTTAAGAAAGTTAAAAGCATTTCAAAAACAAATGCCTGGGGAAAATGCTGAACAAAAAAATTCAATGAATTCAATAGCAGTGACAAAATAAGAGAAATGCCTGGGCAAACATTGGTAATAACAGTTATACGACAGAGAAGATAGTACTAGTACTGTACTGGACATACTCTGAAAAAGAGAAGAGCACCAAACACCAAACATGCACTAAAATTGGCAACAAAAGTATTGAGGAAGCAAGGAATTCCATGAGAAATACTGAAACGACCGTTGACGAGAGAGGCCAAAGGTGCTTGACTGGATTCCATCCACTTAGCGCTGTGTATGATATAAAATACCAAATAGGGGAGGGAAAGATTGAGGCTCCCCTTCGTGGCGGCGTGCCTGGATTGGAGGGAGCAGAAGTGATACTGCAGAAACACAGCATGCCAATAATGCAAACTACACAACTAGCAAAATACAGGAAAATAAACATAACTTCTCTTCGCAACGCTATACGAGGTAAGCAGTAGAACAACAGAAGAAAGAAGGGGATCTCAAGGCAAATGGAAATGAATCAACGAAAGAAGAAAAACATGTGAAATATTTGGTACATACATGTTTGGCTTCAACTTACCCGCTTGCTTTCCTTCAACATCGATATTGTCACACGGTACAGATGTGTGACTGTTCTCAGGGATTCGCTAAATTCTTGGTAATTCTTCTTCTTGTGCTGATTCCGTTCATTCTTGTACTCGTAAACATCTAGAGCTTTTTTGTACCGTGGAAGAATTCTATTTATATCTTCTGGAAAAAAAAATACAAGTAAATTTTGTACATTGAAAGAATTATATATAGATCATCTGTAAAATGTGCATATGAATTGTGTAATGCAATGGGCATTGGACACTCCCAGATATCTTTTCTTCTCCATAATCTGTTTTGTATATTTTGCACAAAGCTTTCCAACACAGCGATAGCATCCCCAATTATTCAACCCCCCCCCTCCCCCTCCCCATTATCATCATCTTGTGCCCTGTTGACAAGCATAGCAGTCATATTTTGCCACTGCACACAATCATTAGAATCACGGATCATGTCAGTGTTTTTGTCTCTCCCCGTCCATATGACCAAGCCATCCAGGTATTTATCCCTTTGCCTTCTCTTTTTCTCCCCCCCCCCCCCCCCCATAATTCTAGCCAGTTGTTATCAAGTTTATGAATCCATTCCTTCTCATGACATGTCCACACACACAAATATATACATCCACACACAAAGAAGAGAAATAACTGTCTTATCCCCTCACAGCCTCTTTATTCGTCTTTTTCCTCTTTGTACTCACTTTCACTTCATTCTACAACCCCACTGACACAAAGAAAACATTGTCGGGGGGGGGGGGGGGGCACCCATATGCACCGGAATATATTGACTCAAAGGCATCTTGAGCTAGCCTCCCCTCACCCCCCCCCCACCCCACCCCCAAGTATTTTTGGGGAAATGAGGTAAGCATTTTTTAAAATATTTTTTTTAAGCAGTGCTCTCCCATCATGAACAAACGTTCTCTTTTTAAGCATTTGTTCATACATTTTATATTAGTTAAAACTTTATATCTATTTGCCATTTGGCACACAATTATGATAATTTTATTATTTGGCAATTTAACACTCTTGAGTCCCAAGGAACGCATCATACGTTCATAGATTCCTTCCTAGAAGCCAAATGAACGCAAAATGGCGCCAATTTTACGTCTTTCTTGACCACCCCTTGGGCCTGTGATGCTTAACCCCCTGGGACTCAAAAAGTTAAAAGTGTCAAGTCATTTTCACATACATTATATTTATGTATTACCCTTCAGCATACAGTAATAATAACAATTATTATTTTTGTGCAATTTAACAAGGCCCCCCCCCCTCCCCCCCCCCGCTTTTTCCCGCTTCTTAGAAAATTATAGAAGACTGAAATGTTTTCTTCGTGGTTGAGCTCAGCTCCCTTCTAAATTGTCTGAGGAGGCGCCCCAAGAAGCCTAAGCCTTGTTTGAATGCTTTAAAAAAAAAAAAAAATAAATACAATGTTTTTTAAATAGTTGAGTTGAGTCAAAAATTGACATCACAGCACTCTGGGCATTCCCACTCATGCTCCGTCCTCATCTTCAGCAGCCAGCACAGAGTTCCAATACTGATGGTACCGGTCACAATCTGGTTAAAAGTCCGTCTTGCCTTTTCTCTGAGTGTAGTAAGCCGGCCAGACCCTCTGGTTACACCCAGGTGCCTCATTCTCTCCAGGCCTTACTAATCTTCTTTCTCTACTGATTCCGTTACTTTTTTTAAATAATGCGATTTGTATAAACACAAACTTAAAAAGAAAACATCTGTCCAATGTGGGCTGCTTAGCTTTCTTACACATTTAGGAGAATCTCAGCGCCTCTAGCCCTAAAGAAATTGGGTGCGGGAGGGGGGGGGGGAGGGGGGGGGCCCCTAGATGCATAAGTCTCAGGTTTCCCATCACATCTGAACTTGTTACAAACAACTATACGCAACACCAAAATATTACAAGAGTTACCCAATGGGAGAAATAATAAATTTATCAAAAAACCTCTTATTCTTCTACTTTTACAGCATGCTGAGCCCTTGAGGTTCATTGCTGGAGATATCACCCGCCTTCATTCATTTCTCTGGTTGCCTTCTCTTTCCAGTTGATGACACCAAGTGTTTGTATATCTGTCTGGATAATATCTCTCCATCAGCTTCTTGGTCTACCTCGTTGTCTACCATCATTCAACTCCCTGGTGTAAACAGTTTTCAACCTCTCTGTCATCTGACATTCTCTCAATATGCCCCAGCCATTTCAGTCTAATTAGCTTTTATGATGCTGGTGTTCAATGGTGATTTATTTAACCTTTATTTATTAATTTCACGTAGGTCAGTTCCCTTTCCCTTAATCCAATGATCGGGAGTCGCCGTGGTGTATCGGCTAGACGCTCACCTGCAGATTCGAAGGTCGTGGGTTCGGGTCCATACGGAGCCGGGCTATAAAAAAAATGACCTGGCTTCCAGGTGGATTCAGCCTTGAGTGGGTACCACGTGCAGTCCTCAAAAGTAAAGGTGGTCCGCGTAATGCTAACCACATTACCCACCAAGTGCCAATTGGTCCATACAATATAGGTCTTGCCCTATATGCCCAAAATGACTGAAGGCGTGGAAAATGGTCTTTTACTTTACTTTTGTATCCTTTGAGTAAAGACCCTCAGCCAACTCACATTAAGCTGTCTAATCTTCTGTTGACTACCAAAGCGCCCTGCATAGACTTTTGATGCAAGCCATTTACAAAAACGGGCATTGCACTCATAATACTGCACGTAATCGACCACCAGCAATTTCCACAGTAGTCTACAAGACTCCTCTTCCCATATTATCCATCTCTGTCTATAATTAATTCCTTTCTTCAAGTCTCCTACCACGTGTGCTTTCTTTCCCACTTCAGTTTTGCTTTGCTCCAGTATGGCAGATAGCAGGCTGACCACTGGCGCTCTAAAAAAATGTTTTTAGCCACGGCTCGCTGATGCAAAATCATAGTTTCTGGACCAGGAGTCCGAAGATTCCATAACCTAGCTACTCAGATGAATACTTGGTGCAACACTGTGAGCTATGGATATTGTGTGGAATATTTTTTTTTCTGTCGTGCCCGAAACAACTTGTAAACTGTGCTAAAAATTGCATGTGGCCGATTACGTGTGGTTTGGCGTGCATTTCTAACAGTATTACGAGTGCAATGGCGGTTTTTGTAATTGGCGTGCATATTAAAATGAGCTGCGATTTTGGTGGGAGACTGTTAGTGTTGGCACATCTGATGGCTGTCTGATACATTTATTTTGCATGTGCAAGCTTTAAGATTGTGCTTGAGCTGATATATTAATCACTAGTTTTCAAACTGAACGGTGAGGGACATTTTTTTACTGGCACAGGAAAGGAACAACTGTGGGTCAATCCATCGGCAGTGAGAGTGGAACCTCGACAACCACAGGTTTGAAGAGTTAATTTGCAGTGAAAAATTAGACTCTGAAATTACCTTGGTGGATCTTATCAATGGCTGACTTTGACAGTTGTGCATATGAGTACGTTGTTTCGACAAAGTCATACTCGCACGGAACGGAACATTGGCAGTTTTGTTCTGCTTTCACAGGATAGTCTTCTGAAAACATTAAGACAAGCACAAAGTAAAACAGATATGATTCATCATCATCATAGTTACAATCTTCATTATCCTTATCATCGTTTACAGGGCCACGATAGCTGGAAATAAAAGGTTCACCTTTTATCTTTCAGCTTGTCCTTTCACGGCCACTTTTTTGTCTTTTAAAGTGCACTTTTGTCCTCCAAAGTGCACTTTTTTTATCCTTCAAAGTGTACTTTTAATCCTTTAAAGTGCAATTTATATCCTTTAAAGTGTACTTTTAATTCTTTAAAGTGCAATTTATATCCTTTAAAGTGCACTTTTCAGACTTAAAGTGACCTTGTTTCTCAGGTTTCTTCCCCTCCATCCAGTGGGTGTTCCGCCGATATTTAATGTTTTCCTCTGGCACTTTTTCATCTGACACTTAATGCTGTTATGTTTCTTCAAATGACTTTATAATGGTCCGACCTTCATCTAATTTCTCAACATTTGATCTAATCCCAGTTTTATTTATAATATTCTTTCTTCTTCTAGTGTCATGATATTTGTCCTAATCATTTATAGCCTGTCAGTCAACCAGTCAGTTAATCAAAAAGTCAGTCAAACAGCCAGTCAGTGAACCAGTCAGTATGTCAATCAGACAACAAAGTTAATCATTCAATCAATTATTCACTCAGTCAACCAATCAGCCAATCACTCCAATAGTGATTGAGCGAATCAATCAGTTAGTCATTTTATTAATCAGTCATCAATTAATCATTCCCTCAATCATTCAGTCAGTCAGACAGCGAATCAGTCCATCGGTAAATCAGTCAGTCAGTCAGTCAATGAGGTTAGGACAAAAAAAAAACTCCCTTTATATTTAAACAGGTAACTAGGTATAAACAACACAAACTGATGGTAGCAGTGACTCGGGCACTTACTTTGTGCTGGCTGCAGACAGTTGAGGTACTGTGCAAGTGTACACACTGCGAAATCTGCAATCATTTCAATTTTGGTCACTACACCAAAACATTTTTTTTAAATGTACAATGTTAGACCAATTATTTTATAATGGTCATTTAAAGGGATATTTGTTGATACATTTGCACACGTTTTTTGTCCCTATAATATTGTTTAAGCAGGAAAATAAAAAGAATCCAACTGCCTACCCAAAAGCATGTCGTAAGAGTCGACTGTATGTGTCTGGGTTGTTTGCATGTGTGTTTTACAGCGTGTGTCTGTGTGTTTGTGAGACTGTGTGTATGTGTGTGTGTGTGTTTGTGTGTGTGTATGTATGTATGATGTATGTATGTGTGTATGTGTGTATGTGTATGTATGTATGTATGTATGTATGTATGTATGTATGTATGTATGTATGTATGTATGTATGTATGTATGTATGTATGTATGTATGTATGTATGTATGTATGTATGTATGTATGTATGTATGTATGTATGTATGTATGTATGTATGTATGTATGTATGTATGTATGTATGTATGTATGTATGTATGTATGTATGTATGTATGTATGTATGTATGTATGTATGTATGTATGTATGTATGTATGTATGTATGTATGTATGTATGTATGTATGTATGTATGTATGTATGTATGTATGTATGTATGTATGTATGTATGTATGTATGTATGTATGTATGTATGTATGTATGTATGTATGTATGTATGTATGTATGTATGTATGTATGTATGTATGTATGTATGTATGTATGTATGTATGTATGTATGTATGTATGTATGTATGTATGTATGTATGTATGTATGTATGTATGTATGTATGTATGTATGTATGTATGTATGTATGTATGTATGTATGTATGTATGTATGTATGTATGTATGTATGTATGTATGTATGTATGTATGTATGTATGTATGTATGTATGTATGTATGTATGTATGTATGTATGTATGTATGTATGTATGTATGTATGTATGTATGTATGTATGTATGTATGTATGTATGTATGTATGTATGTATGTATGTATGTATGTATGTATGTATGTATGTATGTATGTATGTATGTATGTATGTATGTATGTATGTATGTATGTATGTATGTATGTATGTATGTATGTATGTATGTATGTATGTATGTATGTATGTATGTATGTATGTATGTATGTATGTATGTATGTATGTATGTATGTATGTATGTATGTATGTATGTATGTATGTATGTATGTATGTATGTATGTATGTATGTATGTATGTATGTATGTATGTATGTATGTATGTATGTATGTATGTATGTATGTATGTATGTATGTATGTATGTATGTATGTATGTATGTATGTATGTATGTATGTATGTATGTATGTATGTATGTATGTATGTATGTATGTATGTATGTATGTATGTATGTATGTATGTATGTATGTATGTATGTATGTATGTATGTATGTGGATGTATGTGTATACTGGGTGCCAGTGTGTGTGAGTGAGTGAATGGGGTGGCGTCTTTATGTGGGTGTATGTGTTCGCGCGCCAGCGTGCGCACATATTTTACCACCCATGCTTTTGTTTTTGACTTGATATTCATTTTACGCCCCGTACCACGATAAAGATCCTTGCAGTAAAAATGATACTAACGTTTTAATGTTAAAGTCTAATGTTGAATCAATACTGCTCTATGGGGCTCGGAACTTTGCCTATATTTACAGGCACCACAGAATACTGGACATATGTTCACATACGCAATAGAGCGATCCCAGATTTGGCCAGGTAGCATTCCTGTGGAAACTCAGCTGCAAGGATTATCAGAGAACAACAACGAATCTTATCTCAAAACCACTGGATGAGAGATTAAAAAAAAAAAAAACGTGAGGGCTGAATCTAAGTGTAGACATAGCTATATACATTTTTCGACTGTCTTCTATGCCTTCAACTATTTTTGGTCTCTCTTATTTCTTCTATCCGTGTCAATCAGTACTTAGAACTAAGCTCTCATGATATACACTTGCTTACCCCCTGGCATGTAGAAATCCTTGCACTGGCATTTATCAGTGACATATTTTACAAAGCAGTCAGTCTGGCAAGTTGGTAGCCCATAGTTGTAGGTTTGATTGGACACATACTGTAGCATTCCTGGTCTGCAGTTATCATAAGGGTAACCCAATCGATGTTCCTTGGAAGAAAAACAGTTATTTTATGTTATCACAGTCTACTTAACTGCACATTAGACATTCCCATTTTTGTACTTATACTCAGTTTTTCCATGCACCAGCCACACCAATGTATCTCTGCTGTTTGTTCCCACCAGGAGCTGTTTATAATACCTCCTGTCCCGGCTCGAAGGCGGCATAGACGTGCTTCACTATACTTTACTCCCATGTCACGCAATCGTGTTAATGTCAGAGATTTGTCGTTACCAAATGGATCATGTGGAAACGGTTGTGATAAGATGCCAAAATAGACTCAATGCACTTAAGACTATGGCTGCAATGGACATAGAGCAGAGAATGCTTTTCACAGCACATTAGCACTTGGTTCTCTCACTGACTGATTAAGGACTAGGACTGCTCACTGTCTCAGTCAACTGGTTAAACAAGAGCGCACACAGAATGCAGCTATCCGGGTCATTTTGGGATGTACTAGAGACACCCTGTCGGCTCTGTGGTTAAGTCGAAGCGAAAGCTTCGTAATGCCGGGATTCCGGGTTCGATCCCAACTGCGGGCCATGGGCCTTGCGTTGGTTTCGACAGTGGTATCAAGAAAGCCGACCGCCCAGAAGCAATGGCAAACTACTGAACGTAGATTTGCCTTGAAAACCCACACAACAGTTAGGGCTGTTGTGGTTGGTTATGCAACGTCCTGTAAAGGATACGCAACTAACCTAGAGACACCCTAGTGTTGTGTATGCTTCTTCTTCTACTTCTTCGATCCTTCTGTCAGAAAACATATCAGGAGGCTGGTATCCTTTATGAAAGCTATCGTGCAGTCCATATCCTCTGGTGTAAAATACAGTTTTGTCTTCATTGTGACTGGAACAAGCCAGATTGTGTCTCTGCTGTCAGCATACAGTCGTTGTCAGTAAATAGTCGACAGTGTTAGAGCATATGCTCAGTATTTTCGAGTGCCACGCTGCAGGAACACGTCTCCGTGTTTCCTACACCGCAAAGTTTGAACATATGTTGACGAAGTCTGTTGTTTCCAGTCCTTAGTCTGAATATAAAACACTGCTTCTCTCTAGAGAGGCGATGAAGCGAGTCTTGGGAATAGAATCTGGTGTGTGTATCCAGCCACCTTTCTTGGATACTAGATTGTATTAATTTGTTCGTCTCTGGGTGGGTTAAGTCACTATTTGGTTGTACCATGTCATTGCCGCTCCTGGCCAATCTGTCCGCTATTTCATTGCCTTCCAAGCCACAGTGACCTGGAATTCACTGCAGTATAGATTGCTCGACTGAAGAGCCTAAGTAAATCAGCTGTTGCGTCAAGTCTACAAACTGAGTGTCTTTTGGGTTAACAATTGCTTGTAGAACTGACATAGCATCAGTCAGAAAGACCACTTTGCTATATTTGCTGTGCTGCTGTTGTCCATTCAGGAAATAACATACCTTCTGACTAAATGAATGAACGGCTCTGAGGTTACATTGAACATACCTGCTTTAGACGCAGTGCCACAAATGTGTGACTCCCAGCCGCTACAGCTTGTCCAAACTGCGCCACCAAAGGGTACTCTCTTTTCATGTGAACTAAGATATGAACTCCCGATGCTACGTTTGGCCCTGCCATCCTCTCATATTCCTCGACATTTAGGGTCAGCTGAAGACCTTTAGACAAGCCTGTAGAGAGACGGCATGTCACGTGAGTGTGAATCCATGTGTCAAGTAAAATGAAGTATTTAAAAAAAAAATCACTTGTGGGTTCATGTGTCCCATTGTGGGGAAAAACAAAAACAGACCAACTGCCTCCCTAACAAGCATTTCGTAGTACTCTACTAACTGGGGGCTTCCTTCGAAGTAGAGTTCATCCGCCAAATCGGCAAGAAACTGTTTTGTGTGGAAGAAGGATTATATGTAACTAACAATAAACTGTGCTAGTCATTTGGTTGTTTCTGTAGTATCATTTAACCTGGATGGGGTGCAGAGGTGCTAAAACACACTTGTTGGTGCAGGAAGACCAAGGTACAAACAAACCAAAGCCTGTCTACCCCTCTCTCTGCAGTTATCTTAGACATGGGATCCCAGCCGGGGTCCTGCTCGGCGTAGATAACATCAGTCTTTTCTCAAATTAGAGCACATCGGCCTGGAAGGCGAGGAACCAACAGTCTGCACACAAATAAGCCAAACCTGCAAACCATTTGTGCACGTACAATTAAAATCTTAGAATAAGACCACATTTTCAGAAGTGGGCACACAATCAGGAACTTTCAGCTGGAGTGTACAGCCCGAAAACATTAGGCAGAAGAAGAAGAGGAAGAAGAAGAAGAAGAAGAAGAAGAAGACGAAGAAGAAGAAGAAGAAGAAGAAGAAGAAGAAGAAGAAGAAGAAGAAGAAGAAGAAGAAGAAGAAGAAGAAGAAGAAGAAGAAGAAGAAGAAGAAGGAGGAGGAGGAGGAGAAGAAGAAGAAGAAGAAGAAGAAGAAGAAGAAGAAGGAGGATGGGAAGAAGAAGACATAGATTTAACCTAGATAGACCTCTTGTGTACAGTATGAAACTTACTGGTTTCACAAGGATAGTATGCAAAGCAAATAATACTTTCACTGTTATCTACCCGTAGTTTGCGAGGGGTGATAACTGGAGGTTGGTGCTGTTTGGCTTGAAGCCGCCGCACCTCAAGGGATAAGAGGCAAAAGAAGAATTACACTTCATTTTCTTGTTGACATTCTGCTCTCTTTTTGGTAAGTTTTTTTTAAGCAAGATTGCTGAAAGTTAAGAAATGTTCCAAAGAACACAGGAAGAACAGAGAGCCACCGTGATGTAGCGCCTAGACGCTCGCCTCCTGATCCTAAAGTAGTGGGTTTAAATTCAAACTAACCAGACATTTTTTCTTCTAGGACTGACCTTGGCTCCCAAGTAAACCCTGCTTTAAATTGGTAGAAGGTAAAGTCGAAAGAAGTAAAGGCAGGCGGCATAACGTTGACCTCATCACCCAGCGAGTGCCAGTGCTTCTATAAAGTACAGGTCTAGCACTATATGCCCAATAGGCCTTACGGCGTATTAACGTGTCCTTTGCATGAAGGATGGAAAAACAAGAACTATAAAAGACATCACATAATTGCTTGCAAATAAATCAACAAAAGAGGCACCAGAAAAGTAGTTACATAGAAGCCATACCTGGAGTGTGCACTCTGAGATCTCGATTTGAATTAGGCCCATTGAAGGTAAAACACAGGCCATGGTCAGTTGTGATAGTCGTAAAGTTATCAACACCACACTCGTCTTCTCCCCATTTACATCTGATGACATGAGAACGAAATAGGTTCGGGTTGTTCTGTGGTCGACCGATTCATTACTGGTATATTCTAAGACTTACATATTCTCAAATCATCCATTAGGTGTGAACTACTTCGTTGTAAATTGATGCATGCCAAACAAATCAAAAGTCACGACTGGCTGACGTTCAACCTCACCAGTACATTACATCGAGCAATAAACACCCGATGACACAAAGTGCCTCTATTCTTATGAGGATCACCAGGGGACAGGCCCCAGAAACCCAGTTCAGCCCATAGGTTGGGTTATATTAGGGCCTCCCGCAACAGCCAGTGTGGGAGCTTTAAAACAACAACAAACTGCGTCCGACACTGGGACGCAGAATCTATAACCCAAAAGTCGCTCCCTCAGACGTTAACACATATCAAGAAAATTCCTGTACAGATGAACAAGAATTGTTACATGTGGACTTAGATTACCCATGTCTTTACGATTTAAAAATTGACTATTAAACAGGTACTGCTGTTTTCTTAACGCAACGAATTTCTTTGTTTGACTAATAATTTGTAAAGTAAAGGTCCCTTTTCCACGCCCTTAGGCGTATAGGGCATATAGGGCTAGACCTATATTTTTATAGACCAATCGGTACAAGATGGGTGATGTAGTCAGCATCATGCCATCCGCCTTTACTTCCCGAGACTGCATCTGGTACCCACTCAAGGCTGGGTTGACAAGGGAGTCGAGGTCATTTTTGACAAAAGTCCGGCTCCGCCAGGGAGCAAACCACGACCTTTCGATCCGCACGCGAGCGTCTAGCCGCTACTCAACGGAGACTCTAATAATTTATGCATCCCTTAAAAATGTATATACATAGATTGAAGATTGTTTTAAAATCACTTGACATGTGCAGTGATCCGTGGTGATAGCCTATCCAGCATACAATGAAAAATTCCCAACTCACTGGAGACTAATGCTGTAGATAAGGGTTATTCAACTAAGTTTACTCAGGGGCTAACATTTCTGAAACTGCGAATTATCATGATCGTTACAAGCCAGAGACCCGAGCCCAAGCATTGAAAGACCATCAATACAATGCAACTGACCATGATAAGCGGGCCACTTGCTGGGCCTCTGAGGGCCACATCTGGCCCGCGAGCCGCCAGTTGAATAGCCCTGCAGTAGATGATCACCTGAGAGGGAGATGCCTATGACGCGTGCAATATGATGTTTTGAAAAGTTCAGTTACTTAAACAACTGAAAGTATACTGAGTCTTTACTTTGAATCTGTGTCTGTTTTGTCATATACTGCAAATAAGGCAACATGAAAACTAGATGTTTATTTACGAGAAGAAGAAGTAAATCAGCTCATATATTAACAAATAATATTTTACATCATCATCAGTCAGCAAGTCCTTTACAGAACGTCGCATTCTTCAAGGTACGCCTGAAAGTATCCCTTTACCTAGCCAGCTTTATGGCCTCATGTGCTTTCAATGCCAATGCATCCTCAATGTCCTGTATCCATCTTCACGGTGGTCGCCCTTGCCTCGCCTTCCACAAACGGCACCCTCCATCGCCGTCTTTTCTAAGCCACCATGACACTTAATGTGGCCAAAATACTTCAATTTTCTAAACAGGATGCTATTTATGTTTTTACAAGGACACGATTATGACAGGTCACTGAGTTGCAGATTTAAAAAAATTGGGCACGACATTTGGAACTGACTATAGGTGTTGCCAAGACAATTTGGAAGCGAGGGAACAATGCGGGGGCACAAAAAGATCATTATAGTCTGAAGAGAATGGTGCAGCCAGGAATGGGGATCTCGCGGACGTTAAACACACAGAGGAAAGAGAAGACGGATATACAGACAGCTAATGGTAATATTGGAACTGCAACTCTGTGCTGGCTTCTGAAGATGGGAAGGTAGGTTTATGGGAAATTCCCGAATGCCGTGATGTTAATTTTTAAGTCAACCTAACTCAATTGCGCCCAGGAATTTAGATTTACCCGAGACACACACAGCCAAACACATCCGATTTCACGAATTGCTAAATTATCACCTTTTCCCGTGGAACAAAAATCGGCCAGCAGCTAGAGCGTACTACATGAGAACAGCAGGCTACAAAGCAAGAGGCCGACCAAGGAAGAGATGGGTGGATGGAGTAAAAGAAACAAAACAGAAACGCAGTATGACATTAACACAAGCTATACAATTAGCAAATGAAGAAAAATACATTAAGCTCCTCTTTGTGACACCTCATGGCATAAACAGAAGGACAAAAGAAAAAGAAGACGTCATCTTTTACCATATGATTGTTAAGAAGAAAAGGGGCTATTCTTATCCCCCTTTTAATGGGGTCCCGAAACGGACACGAGGAACTGCTGATATTACTACAAGGGCGAATACAACTATAACTAATACCTCTACAGTAAGTTATATTTTCATTTATAGTCAATGAGAAACATTTACATACTTCAGTAGCGACTACAGCTAAAACTGACACGTCTACAGTGATTGATTCATTCATGTATAGCCGATCGTGAACACTTACATAGCTCAGTATAGAGCTACAGCTAGAACTGACACGTCTACAGTGATTGATTCATTCATGTATAGCCGATCGTGAACACTTACATAGCTCAGTATAGAGCTACAGCTAGAACTGACACGTCTACAGTGATTGATTCATTCATGTATAGCCGATCGTGAACACTTACATAGCTCAGTATAGAGCTACAGCTAGAACTGACACGTCTACAGTGATTGATTCATTCATGTGTAGCCGATCGTGAACATTTACATACCTCAGTAGCGACTACAGCTAGAACTGACACGTCTACGCTGATTGATTCCTTCATGTATAGCCGATCGTGAACATTTACGTTGCTCAGTATAGAGCTACAGTTAGAACTGACAAGTCTACATTAATCGATTCATTCATGTATAGCCGATCGTGAACATCTACATACCTCAGTAACATGGTCTCTTTGTGATTGCCCAGGAGACGAATCATCTCGTCAAGACTCATCCTGGAATGCCCAGTCTTCTCCAGAAGTGTCATGGTCAGCGATCCTGTCATCATCTTGTTGACAACGTCGTACAAATCAGCTTCCACTGCTGCGGTGATCCTGCCACAGATAATATATATCCACGATATTGTGGCTTGTTCAGATACCTACACGTAAACAAGGTAAGTAACGAAAACGACCCTCTTCATGCACTGGTTCATCGGGCATCGGATCCATTTTTAAAAAAAATCATGAAACAATAAAAAATGAAAATGTATATCTCTCTACCTGTATGCTAGTCCTGACATATGGGTGCGAATCATGTGCAATGATATTAGCTCACGGAAGCCAGCCTCAGGCCTCAGAAATGAGGTCTCTGAGATGGGTGGTCCAAGGGACAAGAAAGGACAAAGTTCACAGTCAAATAATATATAATGACCTTAAAATCCACGCCTTATAAACTCGAGCGTATCAGTCACAGTTACGATGTTTGGGATCTGTATGCACAATGGGAGGAAAATCGGTTACCACGGCGGGCATGGCAAGAACCAGGGAACCAGACCTCCAGGACGACCCAGGGTCCGCTGGAAAGACAGCATCCCACAGTCCCTGACTGACAGAGGACTGGAATGGAACTAAGCCAAATATAAAACTATTGATAGAGACGTCTGGCGATCTATCTAGCAAAACTCTACACCCTAAGGTAGAAAAAAAAAGGGGGGGGGGGTGGTGGGGTCGATTAGGTAAAGTTAAAAAAGAAATGTCAGTGCAAACGAGTAGAGCGAGGCAAACTCTAATATCAGTCATAAACGACAGAATGAACGTCGCGGCTGATAACCCTTCAAACAGTGTACGACACAAGCGGACAATGATGCAAGGACAGATAAAATAACTTATCTTCGCGGTGCTGTCACAAAATCTCCATTTAATTCTAGATAAGATTTTTGCAGACCAATCGGTCCATGGTGGATGATCAACATTGCACTGGTGTTTATAGTGTCTCAAAAAGTTTTTTCTGTAACTCTTTATGTCTCAGAGCAATACTGGGCTATGTGCTTCTAACCAAAACAATTACTGAAGATAAAAACTTTATAGGATAGAACCATGAGCATCATGTAGCAGGTCCGTTGCAGAATGTCGCTACCATCACGGTCTGCATGAAAGAAACTCCGTCTCTCACCAGCTCTTCCGCTTAGTTTACTTTCATATTGATATGACCAAAATATTTCAGCTTCTAAGACAACATACTGTTTATTAGTCAATCGTCCTTGATGTTCAGATCTTTTAAAATGTCAATATTTATTCTTTTCTTTGTCCATGATATTCTGAGAATCCTTTTATAGCATTTCAACTCAAAATCCTATATTTTCTTTCTCAGAGACTGGGAGATAGTCCATGACTGACATCCGTATGTTGCCACAGGGAAGATGCATGCTCTTACATTTTTAATTTTCATTTCCTTGCTGGTGCTTAAACCATAGACTTTTAATGTTGTTTAATCTTTGTATTGCTATGACTCCTTTTGATTTCTGTCGAACAGTCTATATTGCTATTTATTTTAGAGCCTAGAAATTCAAAGTGTATGACATTTTCAATTTCTTTATAATTTTTTTTTTTCTGCAACAGACAGTTTTGTCTGTGGACATTATTTTTGTTAACTTCAAACTCAAGAATAGGTTTTGATATTCGCTGTGATTTTTGGACAGATATGATTAAATGTTCTATTTCTTTTACACTGTTCGAAAAGAGGACTGTCACTTGAACAGCAAAGTTCCGGAACAGGGTTGCCACCAATTATGAGCGGATCATAACTGTCACAAGTCTGGTCATTAGTGACATTTGTCATTATGTTTTTTGTGTGTGCATATATATTGAATATGTATGGTGAGAGAATGCACCCCTGCCTCACTCCCTTTTGCACTTCGAACCAATCCGATGTTTTACCAGATGCTCTGATGGTTGCTTCTTGTTCATGATATAAATTTTCAATTAAATGCACCAAATTGCGCTGGAAACTCCAGACTTCTCTTGTTACTTCACGATTTCTGATGTTTGACACAGTCAAAGACCTTGCTGTAATCACTGAAACAAGCATGAAGCTTGTCACATATCACTCCTGTCACGCGCCTGATATAAGGATTTCTCCTTCAGAACCAACAGCACTCAGAAATAATTATGTTGAGTCGTTTGGCTCGTATTGGTCTAAGGGATTCCCCGTGGCCAATATACGCTCAACTTATTTCTGGAGTAGGGCAACTCAAGTATTGGCACTACAAAATATATCTGTATATGAATACAATATTCCTAGGCACACTTGGCTGGACACCCCCACTACTTATTAAAGAAAGCCCCCAGGTTATGATAGTTCATTATCATAACCATGTTAACACATATATTTAAGATTCATCTGGTAATCTGGTAATCTGGTAATCTGGTAGTCTTAGTTTCACCTTCATAGCAAACGAGTCACCCCATCTTTGCTCCGCTCCTGTGCCAATGAAAAACACACAGAATGTTTATCACAGTATTAGAATTGCAGTTCATCATTGATGGTAGCAGAAGTCACCAACAGATCAGCAGTTGCTCACACGATAAAATTTAATCACATACGGGCACCACAACACTGCACGACAGGCATCGCGCCATTTTCTGAATCTACAATTCACACCAACACGTTGGTCACAGTCGAAAATACATTCCAAATGCAATCCGCAGCTCACAGGGTCACGCCATGCATTCAACTCAGAAGCTGGGCGACAAAACTATATCCAGTCTACAAATGGAACAAAAATGCATCAGCCACCGTCCGGCAGAAGCAAAAAAATTTGCCTCTGTTTCGAACAGTGCCGCTGCCTAACGTCCATTTTGACCGGAAGCCTTAAGATTCATACACACACAAATGCTAAACACTTAAAAAAGGTGAAATAGAGACACCTAAGTCAGCCATGAAAATGAATGCATGTAATCAATACAACATATACATATATATAATAGTGAAGTAGATGCCAGATCTCAATAGCTGGATTCCAGAATACAATGTCCAGATTGCAAAGACAACTAAACAGCCAGAATGATCTGGAGATGACACAAATTCATCCTCGGGAAACATGAGGGCTGTGAGGAATATAGCAAAACATGGCATCAAACTGGCACTTATCCTCTTTCTATCGTTGATGCTTCCCTCAGCTCATGATAATTCGACTGTCTTTGGTAACTCTGCCTCAACTAGATCTTAGTCCCAGGAAAGCCGGCAGAATAATACCGCTAAATTTCAATTCATGCGTTGGTAAGAAGTAGTTCCTTGTATACAGGAGCAAGGAGTAAATCGGTTTCTAAGAAACCTCAAATAACTCTAGTAATATTTATCCAATAGTTGCGAATTTGAAAATGACGCTAAGTCAAAGCAACTAGAAGATGTAGATATTATAAGTATATCCGATAAAGGCATATATCGATATAAGGGACTATATACCTTTCAGGACGAGTCCAAGTTTGAATGTTGTGTCGACCCCAGGTAAGACAGGTCTCGACTATGTTAGGGTGATGCGTAATGGCTTATCATTCCACGACAGAGCTCTACGTTGTATTCTCTACATTTTCCAATTTTTTTTTCATCATATTAAAGATATGATCCCTAGTTCCTCTACCCTGTCTGAAACCAGTATTTCTTGTAGCTCATATTATAGTTTCCTTTCAACTTCTTCATGATATTTCGTAGAAGGATTTTGCTAGTATGACTTATTAGTGCGATGGTACGGTAGTTGGAGCATAGTCACAGATGTCCTTTCTATAAGAGAGGGATATAGATTGTTCTTTTCTATCCTTTATGCTCAGTGCACAGACGATAATTGTCTCAGTTATATCTGCCTGCTACTGAAATATTTAAAAAGCTAACATATACCCCTCCTTATCTTTGTCCACCCATGACATCATGAGAACTCATTATTTTTTTTAAAGGGATTAACGACAAGCGAGAGAGAGAAAGAGAGAGGAGAGAGAGAGAGAGAGAGAGAGAGAGAGAGAGAGAGAGAGAGGGAGAAGGATAGAAAGAGAAAGAAAGGGAGAGAGAGAAAGAGAGAGACATAATGTTTAATACACAAAGGAGGTAAATTTTGAGCTAAGAATTGACGTCTTAGCACTATGGACATGCCCACAAACACTTCGTCCCTATCATCAGCAGCTGCAATGAGTTCCAACCCCGATGGTACCAGTAGCAGCCTGATTATATGAGAGTCTTGTCTTTACTCTGATTGTAGAGTGTCGACCAGATCTCCTCGTCACTCCTAGTTGTGCCACTCTCTCCAAACCATAATGATCTTTTCGTGTCTCTGAATCGCTCACTTGCTCCAATAGGACCTTGACCATATTTAGCTTGTCCTGCATCCCCCTCCCAACCAGCCAATCTGTCTGTCTTTTCATTTCCCAACACTCCTACATACTCCTGCGAAAATATCCAAAGAAGGCTAACTACCCCTATCTACCCCTTAAGCAATCTTCTCCACTTTGCATGGAGCATGTATATCTCCATCTGAATTACCACACATGGTAAGTCGGTAATAATCACAACACGTTCAAGACCCTTTGCCGCACCACTCGATCCAGTTAAGTTAGTTACGTATCCTTTACAGGACGTTGCAGAACCAACCCCAGCATTTTTTCATTGTTGTGGTTTTTCTAGACAAATAAATTTACGTCCATTAGTTTTCCATTGCTCTCTCAACGGTCGGCTCCTCGATACCATTGTCGATACAAAGCAAGGCGCAGGGCACACAGCTGGGATCGAACCCGGCACCCTGGCGTTACGAAGAGCGTTAGCAACGCCCTAGCCACAGATGCCGACTTCGCTCCTGTACACAATGACAAAATGGAACTAACGAACACAGAAAGAAAGAAAGGAAGAGAACTATTATCATGATCATCACCACCAACACTGCCACCACCATTATCTTCATCATTACCTGAGCTTCTCTCCTGGACAAATGGGTGCCAGTAGTCATTACAGATTGCATTAAAAAAAAAAAAGGTGCCGGTACTCACTACAAAGTGTCTGTTACAGTAGCCTGAAGAAAATGTACCTTAAAAAAAATGCCAGAGAAACAAAAACCAGAATCTTCTTCGTC